GGGTGTCCCAGTGCCACCCCCAGAGTGTCCCTGTGTGTCCCCAAGGGTGTCAATGATGTCCCCAAGGTGTCCCCAATGTCCCTGTGGTGTCACTGTGGTGTCCCCAGAGGTGCCACTCGTGTCCCCGAGGGTCCCTCGGGGGCCCCCCGATGTCCCCAAGGTGTCACCGGTGTCTCTGTGCCACCCCCAGAGGTGCCACTGTGGGGTCCCCAATGTCCCCAAGGGTCCCTCGGGTGTCCCCAATGTCCCCGGGTGTGTCCCTGTGGTGTCCCCAAGGTGCCACCAATGTCCCCACGGTGTCCCCATGTCCCCAAGGGTGTCACTGGTGTCCCCAAGGTGCCACTCGTGTCCCCAGAGGTGTCCCCAGAATGTCCCCAATGTCCCCGTGGGTGTCCCTGGGCGTGTCCCAAGGGTGTCCCCGCTGTCCCCACAGTGTCCCCATGTCCCTGTGATGTCCCCAGAGGTGTTCCCGGTGTCCCCGAGGTGTCACCAAGGTCCCCAAGGGTCCCTCAAGTGCCCCAGTGCCACCCCCGGGGTGTCCCCAATGTCCCCAAGGTGTCCCCAGTGTCCCTGTGCCACCCCCAGAGGTGTCACCAGTGTCCCCAAGGTGTCCCCAGTGTCCCCGTGGGTGTCACTGATGTCCCCAAGGTGCCACTCGTGTCCCCAAGGTGTCCCCAGAGGTGCCACCCCTGTCCCTGTGTGTCCCTCGGGTGTCCCAGTGCCACCCCCAGAGTGTCCCTGTGTGTCCCCAAGGGTGTCAATGATGTCCCCAAGGTGTCCCCAATGTCCCTGTGGTGTCACTGTGGTGTCCCCAGAGGTGCCACTCGTGTCCCCAAGGTGTCCCCGATGTCCCCACGGGTGGCCCTGGGTGTGTCCCAAGGGTGTCACCGATGTCCCCAGGGTGTCCCCAGAGGTGCCACTCGTGTCCCCAAGGTGTCCCCAGTGTCCCCGTGGGTGCCCCTGGGTGTGTCCCAAGGGTGTCCCCAGTGTCCCCAAGGTGCCACTGGTGTCCCCACGATGTCCCCAGGGGTGTCAATGATGTCCCCAAGGTGCCACTCGTGTCCCCAGGGGTGTCCTGGGTGTGTCCCAAGGGTGTCACCGATGTCCCCAGGGCGTCCCCAGAGGTGCCACCCCTGTCCCTGTGGTGTCCTTGCGTGTCCCCGACGTCCCCACGTCCCCATCAATGTCCCCGGTTCTGTCCCAGTGCCACCCCCACGGTGTCACCGATGTCCCCACAACGTCCCCATGTCCCTGTGTGTCCCTCTGGTGTCCCCAATGTCCCCAGGGGTCCCTTGGGTGTCCCAGTGCCACCCCCACGGTGTCACCGATGTCCCCACAACGTCCCCATGTCCCTGTGTGTCCCTCTGGTGTCCCCAATGTCCCCAGGGGTCCCTTGGTGTCCCCAGGGTGTCCCCAAGGTCCCTTGGGTGTCCCCAGTGTCCCCAAGGTGTCCCCGGCTGTGTCCCAGTGCCACCCCGAGTGTCCCCATGTCCCTGTGATGTCCCTGGGTGTCCCCAGGGTGCCCCCAGTGTCTCTGTGCCACCCCCAGATGTGTCACCAGTGTCCCCAAGGTCCCCCAGAGGTGCCACTCGTGTCCCCAGGGGTCCCTCGGGTGTCCCAGTGCCACCCCCAAGGTGTCCCCAATGTCCCCCAGGGTGTCACCGATGTCCCCAGGGGTCCCTCGGGTGTCCCAGCGCCACCCCCACGTCACCCTGATGACGTCACGCTAACGACCTCGCCTCATTAACCGCCCCCGCCCCCTCGGCGACGTCACTCCCGGCGACGTCACGACCCGATTAACACAACCCAATTAACGCGACCCAATTAACGCGAGCCCTAAACAAACCAGCCAGGCCACGCCCTCCGCCATCTGTGACATCACTTCCTGTTTCCTCCTCACCAAAAAACGGGCGTGTCCCCACCACAGAGCCCCGCCCCTCCCGCCGTGGGCGTGTCCCCCATGGGGTGGGCGTGTCCCCCATGAAGTGGGCGTGTCCCCCACGAAGTGGGCGTGTCCCCGCGCGGTGGGCGTGGCCTAGAGCTCCCCCCGCGCGTGCCGCATGTAGTGCTGGTGCAGCTCGGCCACGAGGCCGAAGGCGCCGGCGCACTCGGTGCAGCGGAAGGGGGCGGGGCTCTCCCGGGGGGGGCCGCCGCCCGCTTCCTCCTCCTCTTCCTCTTCCTCTTCCTCCTCTTCCTCTTCTTCTTCCTCCTCCTCCTCCTCCTCCTCATCGAAGGCTCCGTCCTCGCTGCCCGGGCCCCGCCCCGCCGCCATCATGGCCACGCCCTGCCCGGGACACGCCCACATCCGCTTAAACCACGCCCACAAACGCTCAGGCCACGCCCACTTCGCCCCAGCCGCATCCAACGCCTCGCAAGCCCCGCCCACAACGTGCCAGGCCCCGCCCACAACGCGACAAAGCCCCTCCCATATCCACAGGCCACGCCCACTACCCCATAAGCCACGCCCACATCCACAAGCCCAGACAGAGGGACCCCAAATCTGTGGGGCAGGAACATGGGAAACCCCAAATCTGTGGGGCAGAGACTCCAGGGACCCCAAATCTATGGGGCAGGAGACGCGGTGACCCCAAACCCCCAGCAGCGGATGTGGGGTGACCCCAAATCAACGGAGACCCCAAATCTATGGGGCAGGACATGGGGTCACCCCAAATCCATGGGGCAGGAAGGGGGTGCCCCCAACCCCGCCACACCGGAAATGGGGTGACCCCAAACCCATGGGGACCCCAAATCTATGGGGCAGGAACAGGGGGACCCCAAATCCTTGGGACAAAAACCCCAAATCTATGGGGCCAGAACCCCAAATCCGTGGGGGAGGGACCCCAAATCTATGGGGCAGAGACGAAGGGACCCCAAATCTATGGGACAGGACACGGGGTGACCCCAATCCTATGGGGACCCCAAATCTATGGGGCTGGGGGGCTGAGAACCCCAAAATCCGTGGGGCAGGATACGGGGTGACCCCAAATCCATGGGGCAGGACATGGGGTGACCCCAAATGTGTGGGGCAGGATATGGGGTGACCCCAACCCCGCCGCACCGGAAATGGGGTGACCCCAAATGTGTGGGGCTGAGACAAGGGGACCCCAAATCTATGGGGCAGGAAGGGGTGGGGACCCCAAATCTATGGGGCCGAATAGGGGGAACCCCAAATCTGGGGGGCTCAGAACCGCAAATCCGTGGGGCAGGACACGCGGTGACCCCAAATCAGGACAGGGGGAACCCCAAATCTGGGGGGCTGAGAACCCCAAAATCTGTGGGGCAAGGACCCCAAATCAATGGGGCTGAGACAGGGGGACCCCAAATCCTTGGGGACCCCCAAATCTATGGGGCCGGGACAGGGGGAATCTCAAATCTGGGGGGCTGAGAACCCCAAATCCGTGGGGCAGGAAGGGGGGGACCCCAAATCCGTGGGGCTGAGACAGAGGGACCCCAAATCTGTGGGGCAGGAAGGGGGGTGACCCTGAATCTATGGGGCAGAGACTCCAGGGACCCCAAATCCGTGGGGCAGGAAGGGGGGTGACCCCAAATCTATGGGGCAGGGACCCCAAATCTGTGGGGCAGGACACGGAGTGACCCCAAATCCATGGGGCAGGACAGGGGGAACCCCAAATCTGTGGGGCTCAGA